GGCTCTGTGATTGGGTGCAAACCAGACACCTTTGAAGCTGTGGTGGAGAGGAGGACACTGAACAAGCTGGAAAATCTTAACCATCCGCTCCACCCGAGGCAGTGGAGCAGCTCTCTAACAGTCACAAGGTCAGATACAGGAAATCATTCCTGCCCACTGCAAGAACTCCGTCTGATTTGTCACCTCTGGCGGGCAGAGAGCTCTCAGCACTCTCTACTTGTTGTTTTTGCACTTCTCTGTTTTTCTGCTGCCGTTGCACTCGCTGCATTCCTCAGACATGTTGCCCTGCTGTTAACAGGAAGTAACAGGGCGGCTGTAGGTGGTGGGGCAGGTTGTCCTCTAATCACAGGGTTGGTAGTTCGATCCCTGCCCCCCCTTGGGTTCTCTGTTTAAATTCATGAGGTCTATACCTGACTATGTTAAGCTCTGTGATGACATATGTTGTAAACTGCACTAAACAAATAAAATCAAATTGAATTGAGTTGTGCAGACACCTTATAGACTGGTTCTATATGCTAAAGGAAAATAAATACATGACCTCGTAGGTTTGGCAGATAAAACTTCTAACAAATACATAGATGCTGCGATGCCTCACTGATCGAAGTAGAAGTAGGACATGAATGGGTAAATACATTAATAATGTGTGTGAGAGAGAAACATGCCTGAAGGGCCTCAGGAGGCTGCTGCCATTCCTGGACTGCCTCCATCCCATTGGACATGTCATACAGTAGCACCATAGCTGGCTTCGGTTCATGAGGGCTAATAGAACATTCATTTTCTGCCAGGGCAACGCTGCAGCCATAATTTGTCTCACTTGGTGAATTATGAATGCTTTCTCCACTTTAGGGATGCTCTGTTAGTCCGAAGACTCCAAGAAATGAGAAAAGAGAAGGAGATGGAGAGGAACCACGTGGGCTGCAGAAGGACCAGCATTCTAATGGAACAGATGTTTTATTCAGTCTGTGACTGACAGCTGGACAGCTTCTGGTGGATGAGGAGGGCTTGAGGAACGTCAGAAGTAAATGTCTTCATATCCTTTCATTTTACACCTCAGAGTTCAGAACAACCACAAAACACAACAATAAAAGGACCATATGGGACCTTTAAAGGAAAGAAATAGCAGAAGGTGTTTTGTAAAAGCGTTGTGCCGACATGTCACTGGAACTGGAGGGATAGATTTGTACTCATTTGGTGTTGTGATGACGGTGGTGGAGAGCTCTGTTTAGGTCCAACATCTACCACAGGTTGGGTTTAAAGTGGTTCTTTTTTTTGTAAATGATCTTCATCTGGAAGGCATGGATTTACTGACTCTACATGTGATAAAGGCAAGAGGAGATGAACAACAGAGGTGGATCATTTTGTGACATGAGGCCATGAGTCTAGAACCAGTGGCTGTGAGTTAAAGCCAGCAGCTGTTGGGTGGAACACCTGTGTGGAGAATGCAGTGATGGTGAGGAGGAGGCGGCCTCTGGAACCACAGGTGGTACGTTTGTTTGGTTTTATTTGGTAAAGGACAGGTGGTTTGACAGATTGGGTAAGAGAAGTGGAAAAGAGGGACAATACCAATATGTCAGGAGACAAAAGCTCTTCCTGACTGAACATTCATCAAACGAGGGGCATACGGGATCAGTGGAGGAGTCGTACCTTTTCTGGGTTTTTTACTCCAACACCCCGGCATCCCAGGCTGGTTCCCTGAGAGGAGGGATTTTCATCAGTAGGCGGCGCTCTGAGTTGCTGTGAAACACACTGGGACATGTGTTTTTTGTGAGGGGAGAATAGATGAGATATATATTTAGTGTTTTTGGTGTAACAGTCATGTGACTTTGAACAGCCCACGCTGTGCTGAAGACGGACGGTGTAAATGATAATTCTCTGAAACAGCTTGTCCTTGTAGCTCATGACACATTTGTACATTTGTTGGGGACTATTTTCATAATCCTCATTTTGGATTTGGGAACTCAAATGATGAATGTGGGATATATGTGGCTGTGACGGCACAGACTGCTCAATAAAGAACATCCCCGTTTTTTGTAAGCTTAAGAAAGCACACTTGAAGTCACATGTTCTCGTCTTCCCGCTCTCTTTTCTCTTGCTTGTGTTTCCTTCTACTTGTGAACTGCTTTAATGAAAGAAAGCTCGTTAATGTTTAATGTGAGTGTGCATGTTAACCTACTTAGTCGTAGCATGTTGCACAGACCTCAGCATGCGGAGAGGAAAGAGATGCTGTTTTAAGACAGTTTGTTATATTAAAAAAAAATACAATAAAATGTCAGAACATGCATTTGTATTTGGCAGCAATGCTCTGGGATGATAGAGCTAACATGACACAGACTCGTGGACCAAAGCAGATGCAGAGAGGCTGCTGGTGGCCTCTTCATTAACCTGTTCAGTGGTATGTATGGGACTTTTAAAGGAGGAGGGATGTGTTGCAGATGTGTAGAGGCTGATGTAGCAGCGATGTGGTGAGCGTGGAGCAGGCAAAATGCTGCCTTAGTTATGAAGCACGCTCAGTGGGTGGGCTGGACTGAAGTAGTTCATGACTAGGAAGAAAAATTGTCGTATGATTGGTTGACTCTGTGCCTGCCTGAACTAACACAACACGACAGACAGATAGATTAATAGATAGATTATTCATCTCGGTGGGGAATCAGATTTAATCATTTATTTTAAAATGACATGCGTTTGTGCTCTCTGCTCTGGACAGTCTGACACCAGCAGCTCCTGAGAGCACAAAGGCAGCCGGTGAGCTGAGTCATCTTTTAAAGAAATTACATTCATGTTCCTACCTCAGGACATTCCTATGGTCGTGGGGTCATTTGCATCAACAATAAAAGTAATCCGTTAGTTCTTTGTTTCCTTAAATGCCGTTTACTCTGGCAGCCAAAAGCAAAATGTTTGATGTGCTTCACTTTTGGCTGGAACGTTGTAGAGCGAGCAGAAGCAGCTTAAGTGAACCTGGTGGCCTGTGAGGCAGCTGCACTTCCTGATTCCTTATTTTAAACCTCCACCTCTTTCATTTTTTCCATACAGGATGGTCTTATCAGTTGTGAGGAGGAGCTTCTGTGGATCAGACTTGTTTTTTCCACAGATGCTCGATCCGATTGAGATCGAGTTAATTTGAGCCTAACCTTGAATTGAGTCACGCTCCAGACCATCCCTGAGAAATGCTTGCAGGGTGGCAGCCAGGAAGCATAACGGTGCTGAAAGAGGCCGCTGCCATCAGTACTGTTGTAAATATGGGCTGAACTGAACATGGTCTGCAACACAGTGGTGGCGCCTGTCAAAGCAACATCCACATAACTGAGAACAGCTTCTCAGTTTGGTTTTAGAGGCCTCAACAGAGTCAGACTTTTTGATTTGAGCGGGAAAGGCCCTGCGACTGACTTCTTCTTAACTCTAGGGACAGACAGCAGCACCGTGTTGTTCAGCAGGTAGAAGATCAGACATGTTTGCCTCCTGAACATGTATTTAGAGGGACTTTAGAGTCTGATCTGACATGGATATGAAGCCAGTGAAGTGGACATTAGATCCAACATGTTCTACTATCCAGTGAACCCAAACACCAAACGGATGATAATGTTGATGTGTCTCTTCTGGATGAGCCGGGGTTTGATAAGACATTAACCAGATCAGAGCGGTGAGAAGCAAGGTCGGCTTAGTCAGGTGTTTGTGTAAGAGGCTCCAGGTGTCACACAGGTGGTCATCAGCTTTCTGTCTCCTCAGGCTTTCTGTGCGTTCACATGAAGACGGTGTTCAACGTGTTACGTCACTCTTCTTCTGCACCACATGGGTTGTCCCCCTACTTCAGTCAACAACTGTTTTCCAACATCTCCTGGTGGACACTGCATTGACGCTGGACTCGATAAAACACGGTGGACCAACACCAGCAGATGACACGGCACCGCAAAACCTCGAGTCCTAACACCTGAAACAGCAACGACTTTGCTTTTCACTCCTGTTGTCTCGCTTTCTACAAAACAAAACCAACACAATTTACAGGCCGTCTTTATTATCATGTCAATATTTTTTTCTTACATATTACATACAACGATAAGAAAGAGAGAAAAAAGATGACGTGAGTATAAAAAGATCATTAAGGCATTCGGTTAGAAAGACATCACCGGTGGCTCATCAGCCGTGTAAACTTCAGATCGATCAACAGAAACATTGAGAGGGTTTCATAAAGCAGTGAAGGCTTCTCCACAAAGAGTTAATGCTGGATCAGTAGTACTGTGTGTTAGCCACTCTGATCTCACACGTTAGAGGCACATGAACGTTTTCTTTATGTGATGCAGTTCTGCAGCCTTTTGGTAATAAAACGTTTTAGTTTGTGGCGTCCTGTTGGTTTAAATCTGCTCAGTTACTGACATTATAAACACAACTTACTTCAGTCAAAGGTGGGTGTGTAGAATTAAAAGTTCAGACAAAGTTGAGATGCTCGCTGTGTTAGACTATAAATTATGACTTGGTTGATGCACGACTGACCTCCGCGAGCAAACATGCATCTGCTGCAGTACAAACAGGACGCTGTGTTTGAAATCGATCCAGTCTGTAACAGCTAAACCGGAAACCAAAGCCTGTGGATTCTATGAACCTGGAAACGTTCATGAAGCAGAGGGCGACGTGGCAGCAACACATGGGACTAATCTGGTACGATGCTCCTGATCTTAAGGTGAGAGGCACATGGTCACAGGTTCACTTCCTCTGTGCTCTTTAATGGCCGATGCCAGGGAACACGGCCGTCAAAAAAAGGTTGTGAAAACAACGAAAGAAGACAATTTAAGTCCCGACACGAAGGTGTGTCCATGGCTGTGCCCAAGTCCTAAAGCTACACAACATCCTGGTCTGTGTCAGGAAGCAGAATCTTCTGCCTTGAGTTGATTTTGACTGTTCAGCTGCATCATAAAATCATTTCCACGACACACACACACAATCCACATGATCAACTGAGATCCATGAAAGTGGATGAATCAGGATCACCTGTTATGGCTCATGTGGTTCAGAGTTGAGACCGATAATGGTCATTGGCACCAGTAGTTGGGACGCCTCCCTTGACGTCTGCTTATCAGAATAAATACAGAAGAACTGACGAATTTTCAACAAATGAAAGTGATTCATACGGTTCAGTGAGAACCCACATGGCCTAATCCTAGACTAGACATCCCTAAAGCCTTCTGCTGTGTCACTGAGTACCACATAAATTCTGATTTGTTTTTACGATAAAGCGATTAAGGCACATGAAGCACAGTGAGGCCAGACGAACCCGAAGCTTTGGCGATGGATTCTGCGTAAACATTAACGTGTAGATATTTGGATCACAGTGTTGGTTTTAGTGACGTCATCACTGGAATGGTGAGACTGGAATCAACCTCTTTGGCCAGAGAGAGAGAAAGAAAGAAGGAGAGAGAGAGAGAGAGAGAGTGCTTGTTTCATACATCAGGCACTTTTACTTGAGTGGTTCAAAGTCTTTAGCTGGAGGTTCTGGTAGCTCCGTGGTGTTCAGGAAGCTGAGGCAACCTCCACGTCCTGATAACATCCATGTTTTAGGATGCATCTTCCCCTTTCTGCTCGCTGGATTCTTCTCTCTGAGACATGAGGAAGGACTCCCACACAGCCAGACACTGGAAGACAGAAGGACAGAGTCAAACATCATGTCCACCAGGCCTGGACTCTACCAGAACCGTGCCCTATGTTATCAGGTACCAAGATGTTGGCAACAGACCCTTTAAGTCTTGTGAGTTGGATCTGCTATGAATCCGACACATCTACCAACACCCTGTGACCAGGTCATGGTCTGTCCATCAGACCAGTGTTGGAAGGTGTTCGCTGCTGCTAACTGGAAGCTATGACGAGCCTTTCAGAGATCTGAGCTGTCATCCAGGTGTCTGCCCGTACAATTCAACCCTCGTTAAAGTCGCTCAGGTCTCTGCACCTGTGAGACCTGATGGTTTCTATAATGTTTAATATGTCCCAGACCTTGATATGTTATTTGCTTCATCTGTGAATGGCCATAATGTTTAGATTCCTGAACACGTGTATGCTTCGTAGCTTTTCTTGAAGTTGTTTTTGTTTGAAACCTACTTTCTTACAAAGAAAACGGGACACTGTGGTTTACCAAAGATCCAGATCATGTCTGTGGTTTTTAAATGACGCAGCTCTGTACTGGCCAGTGCAGCTGAGTTTATCTGTTTTTTCTGAAAACATAAAATGACTAGTCAGGACATTTGCAGGATGTTTTCTGATTTGAGATTTGTGATCTGTGCAAACTGCAAGCTAACTCCAGCACTTGTAAATGATGGACAAACAACGTACACGGCAGCGTTTCAGCCAAGAAGATAGTACCATACCCCTCCAATGTGAAATGACTCAAAGTTACGTCACCTTTCAATAGTTGTATTATTTCTGCATTGACAAGTAAAGTACAGTCGTGACTCCATAATCCGACACTAAATGTAAAACCTTCTTTTATGTTGGATATCAAGGCTGTCGGATTGTCCAGACGGAGGTCCGGATACGAGGAGGGCTTGATGTTTGAAGGGTCACTTCCACCCCGGGGGAGCACCTCGATGGGGTGGAGATACAAAACCAAAACAACCACGGCGATTACGTTGCTGGCTCCGGTTGAACAACTACTTTACTTCCCCAAACACGGACGGTAACGGTGGAGCATCTTGTGATTTTAAAGTATAATTCAGCAATTTTTATTTATTATTACTTTTTTCAATTTCTACTTATTTGAGTGACGATTGTGAGTTCTGCCTTTTCTTTAATGGAAGGAGATGAATTCTGAGGACGGCTGTCACAGCAGCACATCCACTCCTGCAGAGCCTCGGTCCAGACCGTCCAGACCGTCCAGACCGTCGGTCCAGACCATCCAGACCGTCCAGACCGTCCAGACCGTCCAGACCGTCCAGACCGTCGGTCCAGACCGTCCAGACCGTCCAGACCGTCCAGACCGTCCAGACCGTCCTGCCCTAGAAGACGAAGCCTCGTTCAGTCAGGTGTACAGACACAGACAGAGCGGGTCAGGCAGACCGGCCCGGGGCTAAAGCACTAATTACAGGGTTCATTAGGAAAGCAGAGGCCGACCCTCCAGGCTGTGCTGGTGCTGAACAGGTAAACACAAAACGAGGACGGACGCAGATGGTGTGGTCGGCGGGGCATCGTCACACACACATAAACAAAGATGGACGAAAATAATAGAGCTGGAATATTACAGAATAAAGTGGTTTATCTTCTCTTGATGCATGCATGTACAGCTGCTTTCATACGGCCTCACAGAGCCTCACATCGAATCAAAAACAAGTGTTTGTTCCTGTTCTGACCAGGTTTAGTAGCATTACACATTAAAATACAGCCTTCTGGTGACTACTCAGTCCCCCTTCAGCTAAACTAGATTTAAGTTAAGATTATTTACCTTTAAACTGCAGAAACAGCTCATCTGACATTTTGGATTTTTAATTATTTTAATCACAAACTCCTCACACAGCCGCAGCCAGTCCTCCAATAGTTTAATTAAATAGAGAGGGTGGTATAATCATTAATACTATGAACAAACTCTATCGACTCTGATCTCAGATCAGCTTCTTTGTTAAGTAAAAGCAGGAACTACCAAACAGAAATAAAACATTTATGCTTCACAATCACTTCCACACGACAAGAAGGAAAACCGGTCAGATGCTGGATGTGAAGAGAGAATCTGCATTTATGTGTGAAGACTAATTCCACTGAGGATGAAAAGCTAAAGTGTTTGAGCTGAAGTATCGAGTGTGATTGTTTATTACTATTTTTTATTCATTATTCAAATTGCTGTGAGCTGGAACGAGGTAGAAAAATTAAACTTGGTCCAATAACTGTAAATTATGTGCAAATGCTTTTTTTTTTTTTTGCTGATTTAATTTCAGAAAGGCCACCACAAAATGAATGACAGCCTTAATTTCACTGTTTAAAACCCACATTTTATTTATGCCACTGGAGGCGCTATGATGAACAGTCAAAGAGTAGAATAATTAATAATCCAGCTGCCTACAGACTGTGAGCTCTATCAACAATAAATTACACTTGAACCTACAACTCGGTGCACTCGAGTGTTGAGCCTCGTAGCCAGTAACGGTAACGAATCCAGATCATGTGCATTACATTATGACTGACCCTGACTCTGCTTCTTGGATTTCATCTACACAATAAGCTATGAAGGGGCTGAATCAGGCCAGAAACGTGGCTGCAAACCTTCACAAAGATACGAGTTAGCGGGACATTGCCCATGTATCAGCCTGTCCTGGTGCACTACCTGCACCAAGTCCTGTAAACACAGCGACTCGATGCGGTTTGTTGTTTTAAATGTTTGGTTGAATCCCAGAATTACTGCTGGAGGCTACAGTTTCATGTTTGTCTGTAACTGAACGTGTGTGTTGGGTTACGGAGACATTGCACACGTCACAGTGATGTTATTATACATCCAAAAGACTACAAAACATTTTTTAAACACTTTTGACAACAAAATATTTCCAGAAATGAGGCAATAACACTTAAAATGTAAGTAACCTAACTTGATGTTTTACTTTCTATCCAAATCAGCTTCAAAAGCACATTTTAACATCGTTAGGAACAGTCTGAATTCATCTATCAATACATAGGAGCTATTCTTACTGCACCTGTCGTCCACAGCTGCTTACAACACATTTCAACCTCATTACATCTCCTGAGCCGTCTGAAGGCAGCAGGACACGTATGGAATTGGACTGGGATTGGAAAAATAAGAGCGCGGTACCATTAAGCAAGATGATGTTTTGTGTTTAAAGAAGAACCATAACCAGGTATGACTGGGTATTCTGGGAGCTCTTTCCTCCTGTGTTGTGTCCCATTTAAAGGCGTGATGTTGCTGCTTTCTGAACACCAAACACGGTGGAGTTATTCTTCAGTGGTATCTGGCCTGATGCAGTCATACGTGCTGCTTCACCAGACTGAGGACCAACGGATCCTGAAACCCTTCAGTCCAGCTGCCAGCGGTTTAATCGGATATTCTCCGTTTCACAAGCATATAAGTTCACAACATAGCAGCAGGTACGTCTTCAGTCCAGAAACAACAGCATTGTCCTTCAAAAGCTGGTGCCATTTTATGAAGGCAATATAAATAATGATACCCTTATGTTGCCATGAGGTAACTATGGCAACGCCGACAAGGCTCTGCCACCCGTAACGAAGGCAGAGCGCCGAGTTCATCACGGCCTTGTATCTGAAAGACGATCGCTGCATCACAACACGGGAACAGCTGGAAACTGAGAACACGAGCTTCACAAGCACACACCTGATAGGCTGCCTCACTCCCATCAGCTTTATCAGGATGTTCTCAACAGGAAATCACAAAGGTTCAATCAGTTTTCTAAAGAATCAGCCACCTGTCAAACACTTTGTCATCGTTTCTAAAACAGTCTCAGTGGGTTCAGTCGTCAGCTGCTGCTTCTGAATCAGAATCAGTCACTTGTGAGGACTTTTGAAACTCATCATCTAAAATTGATCACAAAGGATCAAACAGTTCACCACCAGCCTGTGATCCTCCTCTGAAGTCTGCCCCTCAAAACCTCATCCTACGTCCTCCACCTGCCCCTGAACATTGTCCTACACACTTCTTAATAGAGAGATCTGACACTGTAGGACCTACACAAGTCTGACTGTCCTCTGGTGGCCTGGTGCCTTCTGGTTCTGTGGTGGATCTTTGTCGCCTCTGCTTGGGGAGATGCTTTGTGTCTGGCAGAGGAGCCTACTCTAGGTCTGCTCTCCAGATCCACCTACTGCCGTGTCTGACTGAACCACCACCCAGGTTCAACAAAAACTGAATATCGACATCGGTGATATCAGAACTCTTAATATCGGATGTCGGTATCGGCCAGACATTTTAATATCATGCATCGCTAATTAAGACAGCATCACATTTTGCTCTTTTAGATTTCATATTTTCACTTTGATGTGTAGATTAATTGGCAAAAAAATAGCAATTTTATCAATTAAATCTACAAAACAATAAATTGTACATAAAGGTTGAGGTGAAGGGATGTGGATGCTTTGTGGATCCACTCGTGTGGATACGAAGCCTCTGAAGGTATTTAAGGCCAGGCTGTAGCATCTGCATGCTAATCTGGAATGGCATCTGCACACGTCCCTGGGGTTTGCATGCAGACTTCCTCACTATGCTCCTTTCAAGCTATTCTCCTATAAATCCTTGGTTGTGCTTGTGTCTCTGCTGAATCGGAGCGTCTCTACATAAAAACACCCCGTTCTGGAGCAGGAACACCAGACGTGGATGTTCTTACAGCATCTCTACAGAGAGCTGCCTGATTCAGGTACGTCTGGCAGAGAGAGGTGGGACACTAAAAAATATTATTTTAATTTAATTTTTTAACCTGATCTAAAAATAAAAAAACAGAAACATTCAGCAACTAAAAAAAAATCTCTTTTTCATGATTTATTAAAACAACATCCTCATGCTGTTAGATGAGGATAAAGTTTCAACCTGCTCATTAAGCTTCTCATATTTTTAACTCTGAGCTGCTGCAGCCGTTAAATTATTCTGACAGCATTTATTTCAGACTTTAGCAACAAGACTGACGTAAGGACGTAAGTAGTTCATATCCACTGGGGCTGAAGTGTCTCAACCTTTCAGCAGCTATTGGTGGTCCGATCGTTTCAGGACAACACAGTGACCCAATGAACCTGAAACTATTGGAAAGGTAACAGTGGAGACGTTTGTACCAAAGAGTGAAACGGCGTCTCACGGAGCAGTCTGTGAGAGTTTGACTGCTATGACTATTGCACAGATGTTGTTACCGTGCCTTAAACTATCCCATCCATCATCTCTACACCTTCATCCTCACTAGGGTCATGGGGGGCGGAGCCTATCCCAGCTGACTCAGGGTGAAGGCAGGTTCACCTGGACAGGTAACCAGTCTATCACAGGGCTAATAATAGTAAAACTAAACTAACAATAGTTTAGTTTGACAAACTGAAACCAGCTGATGTTCCAACACTGGTCACAGATCAGCATCAACACAACACATGTGCCCTTTGTGGTTTACACTATTTGAATTCAGTGCTCTCATTTCTTTCTTTGTCCCTGCATGTTTCATTTTCTCTTTTCCCTCCAGTCTCCCCAGACCCTCCTGGCAGACCTCATCCATCCTGCCTTCTTCTTCACGCTCCTTTTTTCTTCCCGTTGTTCTTCCTTCATCTCCCACATCCAGCATCTCTCCCTCTACTTCCCACCAAGCCTCCCACCGAGGCGCTAAAAACTCTCCCAGGTACAGGTGTCTTATTAGATTCTTATAGGCCATCTCTCTGACCTCCAAACCAATAAATCATTCAGCGGCCCCGTGGCAGCACCGACCCAAATGCGCACCTGAATAGCAATATCAGCACACGGCAGAGTCACCGCATCCTTTGGGATTATTATCAGCAGGACAGCAGGAACAGAGCTAGACTTTGCTCACTGTGAGGACACAATGTGTTGGTTGCATTTTAAATTCATTGCAGTTGGGTTGTTGTGTTCCACTCAAGAGTTTTGCCAAATCAGCCGATGAGAACGTTTCATGTCGTCATCCCTAACTGGTCAGACAACATGTCCAGCTCCCAGTTCATAAGTAACATGAGTAGGTGATGGGTTTTTGGAATCTCTTTGTTTTTTTAAGGCCCTGAAAGAAACACGAGGTCTGAGGATAGAACTAGAACGACAAGACAACAGAAACTGAACATCCTTTGTTGTTTTTTAAGGACTCAACACTCCAGTAATCTGCTTTTATCTTTATTTGTGAACTGAAATATGCAACATCCATCCATCATCTCTACACCTTCATCCTCACCAGGGTCATGGGGGCTGGAGTCTATCCCAGCTGACTCAGGGTGAAGGCAGGTTCACCTGGACAGGTAACCAGTCTATCACAGGGCTACACTTAGAGACAGACAACCAAGCACACTCACATTCACACCTACGGACAATTTACAATCACCAATTAACCTCAGCATGTTTCTGGACTGTGGGAGGAAGCCGGAGAACCCAGAGAGAACCCACGCTGCACGGGGAGAACATGGAGACTCCACGCAGGAAGATCCCGGGTGTCCATACCGGGACGCCAACCGGCGACCTTCTAGCTGTGAGGCGACGGTGCTAACCACTGATCCACCTACAGCCCACTATGAAGGGCAATAAGACAAAACTAAACTTTGTGTTCATGTCGGACACAACAGTCAGAGCAAAACAGTGATTTCTGAAATGACCTTTATCATGTTGTTCACTTCTCGTAACCTGGAAACCACTCATGAGAGTTTAGGAGTCACTAATATGTTATTTATGTACAGCAGCCTTCACCAACATGCAGCAGGCCTCCATGTCTGGTTGTTGTGTCCATCTACGGCTGTATCCTGAAATCAGGCCCAGTCGCTGTTTTAAAGCTCAGCCTCCTACAAATACTTCCACTCGCTCTGTTAGAAATACTTCAGCATTTGGGAGCTGCGTGTCCTCGGGCTGCTTCCGTGTACACATCTGCACGTGCACGCTCGGACACGTGCGCACACACCAGCGCTCATTTGTTGTATTGCCCGCTGAGGGGCAACTGCGCCGGATGATGAGTGTTTTTGTCAGGCTCGCTGCAGGGAGAGGCACAGGAGAGATAATCCAAATACGACAAGGACACACATTCTGCCTATTAGTACGCTCGCTGCTGAAAAGTCCACCCAAATATCATCATCTTCTGATGCGCTACCAGCAGCTGAACGCGCTAATCATAACGGTGACTGAATGAGAACAGGCTAGGTGGCTTTTACACTCATAAAGAATCCTTAAGTAGATGTGGAAGATCTCCACGTCACACGATGTGGACAAAAATACACTCAGACTAAACATGCAGGTACCTGAACAACCCAACAAGTCAGATATGTGCATCAAGGCCAATGCACCAGTTCTGTCCCCGCATGTCTTTAAGGGACACACATGATGTAAATCCTGTCGTCCACTGAAGTCTGTGAGGGTCTGTGCAGATGCTGCTGTGGACGTTTGTGACCTCGTAAGTACATCGACTACACACTGTCAGGATGAACACACGGTGCCTCAGAACAATGCTCGTTATACGGACAGACGAGGAGGTTCGTGGTGATCCACACCTTTATGAATTGAGTAGTTCCTACCAGACTTTGGAGGTGCTTGGATTTGGGTGGGAAGTCGCACATTCTTCAGAAACCCCTTGCTGAGTCCATCCTCTGTGCTCAACACACCTCAGGAATCATCCCACTGACACACGGCTACAGGCTAAGTAGCTGCTACGTCATGTGAAAAGGTTACAAGCAGCCTCTCAGAAACATCCACGGAGGCAGATGTGTGCAACAACCAGCGGGTTTGAAAGGTCTTTAAAAACCTCTGAGCCAAACACGGTGAAGACCTAAAGAATCCTGAACTGAAATAAAGTCTCATCAACTCAAATCCAATCACACAATGTTTAGCTCGTAACGTTAAGATTACTGCGGCCATCCATTCACAACCAGCAGCTCCATCCTGACGTAGCAGCAACTGATCTGTCACGAATTATTTTGATCCAAATTGGTTCTGATTCATGAGCTGATGCATTACAGTTGCAGAGGGATGTTGCAGTCAGCTGACTACTTCTCCAGAGAAGAGCCTCAGCTCTGGGGAATAATACAAACACCGCCCCCCGGTGGCCACAGGGGGATGTTACAGAGTGAGATGTCTTCATTTGAAGACGGAGGTCAGTCAGCGGCTTGAAGAAAGCACCTTAAACACGATTAACCCTCTGAGGTCCGAGCGCTGTCTGGACACACTGTGGGCTCGTATTTATCTGCAATATAAAGTCCTGCATCGCTATGGAAACAGCACATCCACGGCTGGAGGCAGAGAGGAGTCAGAAAAGTCTTCCTTGCAGCATGACACAGTTAGGATGCCATGAATAATACTAATAATAATAATAGGAAGAAGAAGAAGAAGAATTATTATTATTACAAGTTAAAATGTGCAAAATTTGTCCACATTCCAGCAGCTGGTACCAATACTGGAAACAACATGGTGGCTCTAAATACTCTGTATATTTTATTATTGACATTATCAATTTGCCGTCTCCTGCCTGCGCTGTGTGACCTTCTTTCTTTTTTTGTCAGGTAGCTGTTGCTCGCAGGCTTCTCCACTGTGTGACGAGAGCAGGATTGTTTTATAAGTATAAAAATGAGACATGCAGAATAAAGTGATCTTGATGAAATATCGTGATTTTAAGCTCAGATTTGATTCATTTTCCCGACAGAATACGATAAGTTCAATCACTGCTGGAAGGACTTTGACAGTTCTGGGCTCTGAGAAATGGTGCAATTACTGTGATTTAAAATCATAATAATTGTAAACCCACCAGTGTGTTTGGGGGTTTAGAGAGTTAACACTAATTAGCTGATATCATCAACCACCGCTGAGAAGAGTCGTTTTATTCACTTGTGAGCGTTTGAGATCAACATACTGAGTATTTGCAGACTTGCAGCGATCAGAACTGTAAAATCCAAATGCAATACTCTGTAGTAATCAGCTCTCACACTGAAGTACTCAGTTCCTTATAAATCACATCCTTAGCTGGCAAACCATCGCTCACAGTCTGATGAGAGGAACTCCTTCACCAGCCGTGTAGGAGACGTTCAGACCAAACAATCAGGAACACGTCTGACTTTAAAAAGCCTAATTGTCAGATTAAAACAGATTACAGAGGAAACAGAAGGCTCTTTATTATTCATGAGGAGAAGTGAATGTGCAGCGCTGCCTCCCTCTGCTGGCAGAGCTCCAGCCTCCAGCGGCTCAATACATCCACAGCCAGCAGAAGCAGCATATTTCTGTCCTGACTGCGTACTTAAACTCCAGCATGACTAACAAAACCTATAACGAGTAAATGATTGCTGCCGTAACAGCTCCATTGTTTGAAGCGCTCTCCTTCCTTCCAGCCGGTCTAATTCCCTCCTGCCTCTGCTCGGCGGCCTGCTCGTTAATCTGGAGGCAGGATTGTCTCTTCTACTTCTCTCCTCTCGGGTTCATCCTTCTACTCTCCTCTCTTCTCTGTTCACATCTCCATCATTTATACTCACCAAAAAAAGTGAAGCTGTTGGGGAGCATACTAGTTTCTGCCCATTCTCAGAAGTCTACAGCACTCAGGTTCACATCCTGTGACTGGTGAGATGTTTCTCAGACGAATGATGATCAACTTGACATCAGCTCCAAATTCAAATAAAAGCTGAGTTGGTCGACATTCATACAAAACTCACTTCATAAAATCCAGTTAATCCCAAAGTTATGGAGCAGAGCTTTAACGTTCAGTGGTCCTACAGTGTGACCACGTCTATAAAGTGAATCTTTACCTTCTCGTAGTACTCCACGTTCTTCTCAGCGGCAGAAATAAAGGCTGATCTGAGGTCAGTTCTCAGGCTGCCCTGCCAGCGGGACCAGTCTCCACGCAGGGCGTTGTTGGCCAGCTCCACCCGGTCCCCCAGAGCGTCCACCTCCTCCTGTAGCTGTGATCAAACACACAAGGCGATGACTGAACACTTCCAGGAAACAGGCTTAGAGTCGATCAAACTTCATCTGGTCAGTGAAACAAACTGGAAGCTTGTTTTCAGCCTCATATTACATACGAGTGGAGTTCAAGGAAGTCAGTCAAATACCTACAAAGAGTTAGTCAGCTGAATGGTGAGAACAAGATCAACACATACGCCCTACCAGTGATCAGACACCCCGCTGATATAACAACCTGGCTAAAGGTAGAGGTGACTGATATCAGGACCAGGAAGCTCCTCACAATGCCTGGAGGGTTTCATCCAGAGTCAAGCACCCTGAGCCTGTGAGTGGAAGGAGGGAGGCTGAGGACCAGTGAGCATCAGAGCCACTACCCAGGATGCAACAAGGATCCAGGAACACACCAGTGATGACCTGCTGGGTCAACACCTGAGACAGCAGAAACCTGATGATGACGAGGAGGAAGAAGGACCATCATGGAACAGCATGTACCACTGACAAACAGAGGAAGTAGCTGATATGAAGAAAACACACCAGTGGCTGGAAAAAGCAGCTCTGACAGACAACACAGAGGAACCAATCACAGGAGGTTGGGCTGCACCACCACACCAGACGGGACTCCAGGGGCAGTCGGAGGATGTGACCCCCTAACTAGGAGATCCCTGGAACACCATCTCTGTATAGAAGAGTGCAGCTGTATACACACAGGAAGTCGACAGGAGATACTGAAGCAGACGTACTCAGAGTGGAGCAGGAACAAGGAGACGACAGCATCAGCCCACAAACAGGACTCAGGTGCTCCGGTACTTTCTAACGCTACACGATACACTTAGATGGAAACACACCATATTTACTACAACGCCTCTGGCTGCTCACTCTATCGGTGGGAAGAGATAAAACTGTGCCACAGCGCCCCCTGCTGGCGGCCACAGACACACATCCAGTCTGCCTCATAAAAGCCCAGCATATCTGTCCAACAAGGTCACTTCACAAAGGTAAGGTAAAGGTAAGACATTCTGTTCTGTGGCGTCTGAAACTCAGAGAAAGACTCTCATGTTATCGATCCGTGCAGCTCTCATAGCTGACGTGTGCTGCTGGCTGTTCTGTTCTTTCTGGATGTTGTACGACACACGCTGCTCACCAACATGCCAACAGCCTTCACATGTGCTTCGTGTGTCCGGCAGCTCCGTCATGCTCCGTGCTGCCCAGTTATGACTTCATGGACACCACGAACCAGTCGCTAACAAACGTAGCAGCCTCATAAACACCTGTGCTCACGGCCCTGATGACGGCATTAGCCTGAGATCGCCGCTACAACAGTTAACATACGTGGACCACCCATTCAGATCAGGCTGGCTGCTTCACTAACTTTACATCTTTCATTCCAATAAAACACTTTTGATTGACAAGTTGTGATTTTCTATGCAAACACGCTGACAGAGAAAACCTGCCATCCATCAGCCCCACATGCTGGATATATAAATATGTACCTCTGAGGTCTAATGACTCAATGCAGAGGGAGACTTTAAAGCTGAATGAAAGGCTGTCATTTAGCTCAGTGTGTGTTCACATCCTTTTTTCTGACAGTGGAAACCGTGACAAAGGCATGTGACATTTCCCTTCTTATGACTGTGGATCAGCAGCAGGCTGATGTGCATTAGGAGCTGAATTAAAGGCGGCGCGTTCACACACACTCACGGCTAATTAAAGCAGGAATACGATGTGAGTCTGTGGAGGAAAACTTCTTAATTAAAATCTCACAGATGGATTTGGATATTAGCTGGGTGAGGGGGACACACACCTGCAAACCAACACACACACACACGCACAAACAACTCAAGTAGCATTTCTAAAAATAGCGCTGTCCTTTGCTCGCCCAACTTTCCAGCTTCACTCCTGACTTTGTGAAGCGACTCATCATCTAAGAAGGATATGGAAATTTTCATTACGCCGCGATTAGCCGCCTGGCTTATAGCGTGAAGTAATATTGACGGCTCTTATTCCCACTGAGCTGAGGGCTGACTTCTCGCCAACAAGCCTGGATATTCAGATAATCCTCACTGGGAGCCCTTTTTCCTCCCCAATATGAGGCGAGAGTGGTCCTGTGGGAGAGGCCTCGCTCCTCACTCCACTTTATTACAGCTAATCTCTGGGACTGGAAGACGCACAAACACATCGACTGGCTCAGAGGGAGGACAGGAGTGTGTGTGTGTGTGTGTGTGTGTGATTTTCTCTCACTTTGCGTGGATGTAAAATCACTCTACTTATACTCACTGCTTCTTGGTCGACTTTTCTGGACATCAGGGCCTCGTTCTTGGCTTCGAACTCGGCCTGGATGTTGTCTCTGCGCCTCATCACAGCCTAGTGAACACACATAAGGAATTACTTTCATTTTCCAGGAGATGCTGTTCACAGATTTGAGCATCAAGCGTTTCTCTAAAGGAAAGACTTACAGTGATAAAAGTAGGAACAGATTAAAGGATAATACAGCAAATAAAGTCCATGTGTGTGTTCATACTATTGGTATGATTATATTATACTAATTAATAATTATAAAATAGATTGGTTGTGCTAATTGAACAGCTGAACATCTTCTAGAAGCACGAAGGACCGGAGATGACTGACAGCTGCTTTACTGTCATGTTAGTTTTCAAGCATAACACGGTCTTATTATCAGAATCAGAACCAGATTTATTGCCAGGTATCGTTTACACACTAAGAGGAGTTTGTTCTGGTGGGTCGGTGCAACAATGAATACAGAGTAAGGTACAAGATAAAAGTATAAAAATAGCTCAAAAATAAAAGTGACTACAAATAAGTGTAATCCAAGCAAAACATATTGTGGAGTGAAGAATTAAAGTTAAATTTAAATAAGAATCATAGAGCTGTAGTTATTTACAAGAATATAGATTTTTACATTTATACAGATTATCAAAAGAATTAATTGTTGTTTGTTTAATCTGGTTAAAAACTAACAAGAGGTCTCATCAGAAACAGGAAGTGGAGCCGATGCTAGATGAAGATGAGATCCTCCTCCTCCTCCTCCTCCTCCTCCTCCTCCTCCTCCATCAGCTCAGTGTGTTCTGGCCTCACCTTCACCGTCTCTGCACAGAGGACGTACTCGTGCAGCGTGGGCACCAGGACCTCAGACAGGTGCTCGACCTGCTCCTCTGTTTCCTTGCTGCATCGCTCCACACAGCTGGCCACGGCCTTCAGCGGCTCGGCCAGGTCCTGCTCTGACTCCGCCCACTGGCTGTAGGTGGGGCTGTACTGCTTCAGCTCGTCCAGGTACTCTGGAAGCACGGAGGACGAATATAGAACAGCTTAAAGCCAGTCTTTAGGCCGGTGTACCTCTGCTTTACCCCCAGTAACAGCCAGAGGCGTCGCTTTAACAGGACGACCACTGCGACTGTTCACTGATATGATGACCTGCTGTTAGCTTTTTGATTGTTCTGACTGCTCTCACATGACCCTTCTAGTTTCTCCTCAGTCTGTATTTACACGACAGTCTTATACAGCATCTTTTATATATTTATATATTTATATATGTGTCTCCTGTGGACGGCTGCGGCAGTACCTCTCTGCTCCTTGATGATTCTTTGGGCGACTTTGTCCACAGAGCTGATCTTGTTGCTGAAGTTCTCCATGTAGTCGTGCATCGTGGAGAACTCCTCCGGCCGGCTCCTGAGGCCTCGTACCGAGTTGGCCACCGCCCTGACCGTCTCCCCCATCCTGCTCAGGAAGCCTGGACCCTGTTTCCGCTGAGACGCCAGGTCCTGCAGGAGGCCCGTCAGCATCAGGGTTAATGTGCATCAGCGCTGATCCGCTTTCAGAATGCTCTTACTGGTCTGAATGACATGATTTCTAGTTCTATTTCTATTTCCTGGAGGACACATGACGTTAAAGTGTGCGGTGAAGCTACCTGGAACTTGAGCCTGACATGTGACTCCTCTTTATTAAACACTGTGCTGCTCGTCATGCTGTAATGTGAGAATGAAGCTAAAACCTGTCGATCCCAGAGGACAGACCTGTGCAGTGAGGAAGACCTTGAAGTGCTGGCTGTAGGACAGGATGGGATGCTCAGAGATCTTGTTGAGGAACCGATGCAGGGCTTTCCTCCTGGTCTCGATGAAGTCGTCGTTGAAGCGCTCGACCATGCCTTTCATGACAAACTTCTCCGGGAGAGGCTGAAGACGCAGCAGCAGGTAGACTTAGACCTAAACAGTGTGATGGTGCAGCAGCTCGCACGTGAACAGAGCAGATGTTACCTACATGGACTATGAGCGTTGGGTGGTTTTCTTCCAGTCTGCTGCGGAGCCACAGGAAGTCCTGATAGCGCCGTCGTACGTCGTACTCGCTGGAGTCAAACTCGCTCCGTGTGGTCTGGAAACAGAAGATCCAGATCAGTGACAACACTACGGAGCTTCATCCTCGTTCCTGGAGACTCAACTGAAATGTAAAGAAACAAAACCAAGCTCTGGCCGACTTCCTACAAACATTACATGAGCCGTCTCCTTGTTTCCACTAAGAGCAAATGTACAAAGCCTGTGGTTATAAACATGGTGGTAAATCCAGGACTGATCGGTGTTTAGTTTTCGATGGAGATAATTGCACCATTTGAGCAACTGGTTGCATCCAAGGACAGAGACAATGTCATATTTTTTTCTCTCCCAAACATCCACACCTCCCCTCCTACAGAAAGTGTTCTGACTGAAGCTGTGAACACATCAGGACTCCTCTGCAGCTCTCCTACATTTCAACACAGACCATTCTAAAAGGTGCTTCAGATATGCATTCCTGGGAGAATGTTCACCCACTCAGCAAACAGACCTCCTCCTCTGGAATGCTTCATAAATCATTTCACCAGGCAGAGATGTCCTCACCTTGGTTACAACCCTGTACATGATGAAGGTCTCGATGGCGGTGACATGGCTCTCCGGGTTGTCAACGCTGACGAAGACGTCTTTAGTGAAGGCGCCCTGCTGGTCCTCCTCGTCCTCCTCCAGTCTGTACTGGTTGACCATGGAGCTGGGAGAGTTCGGCATGGGGCTTCCATCTGCCAGGGACGTGTTCTGGACCAACGACACAAGGCTCTGTTAGCCGACTTTAAGTCAGAGTAAGACCTGTTTGGCTGTTAAGAAAACGGTGACAACACTGATCGTTTCTCATGGATTAATGGTAGCAACTGGACTTGTTTGGGTTCCTTGAAGATGTTCCACCTCTCATCCAAGAGGCTTCATCAGCTCTGACTGACTAGTTGGGAGTTCAACATACTGATATTCTAAAGGAGTTGTTACGATTAATCTACGAGAATAACCACAACCTGGATGACTGAGAATCTTCAGACACATTTTACTGCTTCTTCACTAATTTACTGATGCTCATGAGAGGAAGCTCTCCCACAGCGACTGGACTCGACAAGTGTGCTGAAAGAATCACCAATAAACTACGACTAATCCTTCTCCTAAGGTGTCCAGGATAGTATATTAAAGAATGTTATGTTTTCTCCACAAAGACGACCTGTAATTCAGCAAGCCTGCACAAAAACTATGAACTATTAATGTGGAGGTGGAGCCGGACCACAAGAAGAATCCATTAGATGATGATCTAGACCACTTTCGTAACAGGGCATCGGCCTCGGCAGACTCTCCAATTGACCTTTTAATCTTGTATTTCTGGGTTTTTGAGCTTTTCATCTTCAGTGTAAGAAATCTGATTAGTAAAATTAAAGCTACACTTCCAGAGAAACTGACCCAGAAGATACACAAGTGAGAGGACCAGGTGGAGGTGTTCAAGCAGAAGAACTGGAAACAGCCATATGTTGGTACCAGGTGCTCCTATAACCACTGCACCAACGCTGAAGTTAGCTGCAACCTTTTCCAGTCTGCTGAGAGATCTATGATATTCTACAACACTGGCTAGAGGTACAGTCTCTTCCTAATCAGCCACTGTGGATGAAGCCCACATGGTGACTTCACCAACATCATGGAGTTGGATATCAAGGTACCTTCAGCACATCACTGCTAAAAAAAAGCAGCAGTCTGGCCATGACACTATAACAACTAGGGCCTCTCAACACTGAGTCTGAACCCTGGAGTTGAGGTTGAACACATCGGATTGCATCTGTATGTGTCCTCATGCAAAAAGAATTAAGTATTGATTAATGTTTTTGGTAGTTTTTTTAAGCTATTTGTGAGATCTTTCATTCAACAGGATACATAAAACTATATAGACACACACTAATATACATGTCCACCCATCCCAGCTGTGTATTTTTACTTTATTGTTGGGAATAGTTAGATTGTTATCACACACAGACGTCATTTTCAGTCTTCAGGAAATCATAAATAAACTAGACGACACATTATGTTGGTTTAGATTCTGTCCGTTGGTTATCAGTGTGTTGTTGTGACTCACACATCACTTGACGTCTTGCATGTATGACCGATGTTGTCCTACCGTGGTCGTGTTGTAATATACAGATACTAGACCAGAATCCAGAATCCTGTTCCTGCTTCTTTCCACTGAAGCTAAGAGCAGCGTTTCTACTCATTAATGTGCGACAGCAGGACATCATGTCTCTTTGCATTGCTCTGCGTCCCTGCAGGCCCAGTCGGAGCTTTGACCACCGTGTACTTCTTTTGGCACCTTTCAAAACTCCAAGTAATGGCTGCAAATCCAAGCGCTGACGCTGTCACACAGTCAAATATGGAATGATTCCACTTACGTCAGCACCAGCGAGGCAGAGCCCACACGAAGCCACAAAGCTGTGATAAAGTTATGCAGACCGAGGAGGGAGCCGACTCATCCACATTAATGAAGCATCTACCCGACCACTAAATAACCACACAGCAATGGTTTGGCAAATGTAACAGATAATGTAAAAGTCAGAGAGTCAGCTGACAGAGCAAAGTGGAAAACATCTCTGAATGCAGACGCAGCCTTCACACCGGTAACTTTATCATCGCTTGTAAGCTGCTAACAGTCAGAAGTTTACAGACAAACATCAGCTATAATGATGAATATACCATCAATCAGAACTGGTAGTGGTTCACTGTTAGCATTTACTCTGACCCACCAAACCAGATCAGGAATCTTCATAAATGCAAATGGGATGTGGAGCACATGAAATATTTGGGAGTCTGACCACCTAAAGACTTTTCAGGAATGTTCAGTGTTAGCTGTGGAACAAAAGAAAGAGCAGGATTACAGCCACATTCTTCAGCAAAACCTAAAATCATCCACCAGAAGGCTGGATCTTGGGGGCAGTTGGTGTTCCAACAAGACCAACATACATCAAAAGTGGTAAAGAAACGGTTCAATCAGGCCAGAATGAAGGTTTCAGACTATCTGCCAAACTGAAAGTCTGAATCAAGAGAGAGGTTTGTGTCAGAAAGCCGACAGATTTGAAAAAGGCCATTTATCAGAAAGTTAGCATTTTGTAATAAATCTATTCAATAACGTGTGTTTTTTCACAAGTGTTGTAATCGTATGAACAGCTTATCTACCGACGACAACAGCTGAAGAACAGGTCGGCTGCAGTCTGATCCCATTCAGGTGTGACTGCAAAGAGTTTCTGGATGGAGACACGAGCAAAACCACTAAAATGGCAGAAAACAGCTTCATCCAGGAAGCTGCTGTCCTTTCACACCGACAACAAGACAACCAGGTAGTTAAACGGGACCAGAACCAGACCACAGAGGTCATAGGCTGTATGTTACTTCCTGTCTAGTCTATAGTGTGCTTATCACAGGTCACGTCTAAATACATCCATAAAGGAATAATAACATCTTAAAAGCACTCATTAACAGCGTTTTATGTTATTAAAATATCCATTATTTAACGGACGAATATGACTGGTGTTGATTAGAGAACCTGTAATCATTTAGCCATCAAAACGTGACAGGCTGGGATTCTCCAGCATAACAATCTGGTGCTTTTGTGATTTATACCACTGTAAATGTAATATTATTTAATACTACTGGGTGAGCCAGACTAGTACTGGTGTGTATTTCAGGTTGGAAACTGCAGTAGAGTAACTAGAAAAGACACGTTTAAGGTCAGTAAAATGTTGAGTTCATCTTTCATCCATGGTACCAGTACTTTGGCTGCAGGAAGTTGTCTCCACTGGACAGAACATAAACTCCCAGGTGCTGATGATCAGGACCATCTCTGTTATGACTCTCAGAAGTTTTCAACAGTGAACCATCTAGTTTATCTTTGACTACTAACTCTGGAGCCATCTGGACTGGTATTGTCTGTCCAGATGGTTTGTGGGGTAACAACTTGATTGAGGCTAAACATGCTTTGTGAAAACAACTGGACGATGTTAATCCTCAGTTAGTTCACCTCCTCTCACACTCAGACTCAAATGTACATTTAATATCAAAGACAGGAACTGTCCTCCTCAGCTCCCCTACCAGCTCACAGCAGAGAAAACGCTCTGATTTATTCGTGATGAACATTCATCCAAGCCACTGATAGCAAAGAGGTCAAAGATCTGCAGCGTCAGCACCGATTTTACCGAAACATCAAGAGCTTTGTATCACAGTTGGTCCCTGATGGAGAACCTGCAGCGGGTCACGTACTGTCTAATGGACTTCACTGTGTAAAACCACTCATTCGTCTGCTATGGAACCTAAAGGGGGCGCCATCTTTTACAGCCTGGATAACGGCGGTGACGGACATCCTCCATCTGGACAGGATCCGTTACATCCTCAACAACAGACGGGAGGAATCTGAACACACCTGGAGAAGCTCTACACCAACATGTCCAGTCTGGTTCTGAGCACCTCCCTGTGTGACTAGATGATGGATTTCCTGTCCGTTACAATCCAAGCGCTCCAGGTGGTGACACATCTCCAGCACCCTGAACACCAGCGCCCCCCAGGGGTGGTCCTCAGCCCTCTGCTAGCTCCAACACCATCATGAAATCAGCAGACGACACGGTTGTGGGACGACACATCAGTAAGAACGACAAGCAGACGTATGCAGAGGAGTGTCAGACCAACAACCTGCTGCTGAACCAAGGAGCTGATTGTGGACTTTGGGGAAGCCAGCAGAGCAATTACACACCTCTGAGGATTAAAAGCTCACCTGTGTACAGGCTGGGCACCTTTAAGTACCTGGGAGTGAGCGTCTCAGAGGATGCGTCATGGTCCAAACTCACCGGGGAGGGCGGTGAGGACACGCCTTCATTACTCAGACTGCCTCTGAAGGTTCTCAGGACTGTTGAACACTGGAGTGGTGGAGAACATCACCCAGTGGTATGAGAAAAGCCCCGCCCTGAGGTGAGCGCCCTCTGTCATGCACCTCTGGAAATGCTGGATTCTGCCAACATTTGGATAAACACTGTTGATAAGGCAACATAAAGACAGCGTGCCTGATATCTGACCACCACATCGGTGTGGTTCGGCTGCCAGCCCGCTGTAATGTGGCCACATTCAAATGATCCTGTTTATGCAAACAGCAGCGAAGCTCACGAGCCGCCTGCAGGTTTGTTTCCTCCAACAACAGCCTGAAGCTGCTGAGTTCAGCCGAGAGCCTCCAGAGCTGAGCAGCAACACATGCTCTGCTCCTGACCTCCGCTGAAAACAAGTTTATTCAGACCAGCCAACATCGACGTCTTTGCAATGAGCCGGTTGTTATGGTAACAGGCTGAGGGAAGGAGGAAGCGGCGGCGGCGTCTTCCTCTTACTGTAGGAAGCAGACATGTGACTGGAAGGCGTGGGAGATGGAGCTGGAGGTCCTGCTGTCTCCATGTGGCTGCACATGTTGAAGGATGCTGGACTGTCTGAGTCTAACACACCGTTGGAACCGCAGTGAAAACCAACAGCCTCTACAGATCAGCAGATCCTGAGACAGAAGTGGGACCCTGACAGCAGCAGTCCAGCTGTTCTAGTCGGGGCAGAAGTTAAGACAAAGGCCTGGAGCTGCATTTATTTAAAGCACATGAATGACACGTCTCCCAGGAACTGAATAAACTGCACAAAATAATTTAGCTGATGTCATATTTTTGACAATAACTCTGAACTTTATCCTTAAAATCCAAAAAGTTTAGATTTTTTTTTTT